TAAATGTGCTCACGTAACATTAACAAAACAAAGCACGTGATCAAGAATCCTCTAGCAAAGCTTTTTTAACTAGTTAAGTTAATTAGAGGTTCGGTAATAAATGAAAAAGATTGGTTCTCTCTATGACCGAACTCATCAGTAAGTTCAGCTAAGCAATGATTAAACTCAACTTGTACCAAGCCAAGTTCATCAAAGTGTTCGGCAAAGCAATTGAAGAGATCGGTTTGTGCTAAACCAAATTCGTTAATCTGTTCAATAAAAATCAAGTGTGTTCGGCATTTGATATGGTCGAGCTGTTTTAGATAATAGACAGAAGGATAAAAATTCGTCTATAACTTAGGTAATCAAGATAAGCGAATCAGAGAAATTGAAGATATCATGAGAAAATAAATAGAGAAATATCAGTAAATTTCCAAATCGAATCACTGAATTAGAGGAAGGTGTGCCACCTAAAATCAAGAATTACGGAAATTCTAAGAGGATGTCCAACTATAAAAAGTAAAAACACACAAAAAGAAAGGTACGCTGAACTCTGTTGGTCTTAGTGCAATTCTTTCTGTTTCATTACTGACTTAAGCATCGGAGTGCATTCGATCGAATCATTTCGATCTTGAACAGTTTGTTTGTTTTGCGGGCAAGAGATTAGGAGATTGTTCAGACTTTTTTATCAGAAATCATATCACAAATTCACGTGTAGATGTATCACTAATTTTTTGCCTCTANGCAGGCAAGAGATTAGGAGATTGTTCAGACTTCTTTTTCAGAAATCATATCACAAATTCACGTGTAGATGTATCACTAATTTTTTGCCTCTAGAAGGACTATTTTATTGCATTATGATTAGTTCCCTCACTTGGGGATGGTGCAACTATTTTTTAATACTGTAAGCTAAAGAATGTGTAAATTAATTCTTGGCTGCTTATCACTACAAGTGTTGCGTGTGGGGAAACGCGTTTGGTTTGAATTGGTTGCTACCCCTACAATGTCCCCACCGTCTCTTGTATGACCAGAGCAAGAACAATGGATATGCATCACGTCCCTTGTCTTCCCTGACCTTATACAATTCGCTGTTTTTGTTTTCTTCGTCTTTTTGAGACTAATGTTAGTTAGATTTTAATTGCGGTTGTTAGGTTAGATTAGTACTATGCTGAAATATTGGATGAGGTCCACGATTACGCTCATAGCAGTAGTGTATTATGTTAGTAAATTTGGTTTAAATAAAATATTAAAATTCAGTTCAAATAACATTATTTTACTATAATTCATTAAAAATCCAAAAACATTAGATTCAATNTTTAAATAAAATATTAAAATTCAGTTCAAATAACATTATTTTACTATAATTCATTAAAAATCCAAAAACATTAGATTCAATCAAGTCTAATTAGCAACATTTCTTTTTAATGTTGGATTTCATCTTTAAAGACATTAGATTCGTAATTTGTAGTCATACATCAGGTGAGTAGGAGGGAAAAGCAAATGAAAAAGGAAGAAACATAACATGATTTTCCTCAAGTTTCTACCACATGAACGAAAGTGCTTTAGATGAAAAAAAAAATGAAGGATTATGGAAATGCATATCATTGGAGGACCAATCTTAACTTTCATTCGTGTGGTGGAAAAGTTAATTCCAAAGTACTATCCTACCAGCACAGGGTCAAATCAGCCGTACAAGTAAAATTTTCAAACTCCCGACCTTTATGTCTACTGGAAGGTTCTACTGGAGTACTGTTGTCAATGTATTTAATCAGATCAGATACAATAGAATCAATTCAGGGGGCAGCAGCCACTAATTCCGCAGCTACATGACTGCTGTGGTGGGTACAAACACTCCTAGGCCTATTTTTGCACTCCTTTTTTTTTTTTTTTTTTAATTTTCCCGTCACACATGAGATGAATCGAATTAATATGTTGACCCTATCTCATAAAACTTATATGTTTCTTTTGGACTTCATAAAATTTACATGTGACATGTCGAAATTATAATAAATTTTTTTGGTTAGGTATGTCAAATTATCAACATTATATTATATCTTTATGCGAACAAAAATAAATTAATATTAAAATTAATTACAACCGAACTGTATATTTCGTGCATAGGGGAACGGAAGATAAAGCACCTGAAGGACAGTCAAGAGTATACCACTCGAACCTCTGTTCAGTGGGCTAACTCCAGATGTTTAGAGTCATAGATGAGGGTAAATTAATCAAAAAATATGAAAAAATGATGAACTAATGTGACACTATAACAGTTGTGCTTTTTATGGTCCATTTGGTAACGGAAGAAGCATGAAAGGTATGAAACTTTTCATCATTCAAGTAAAGAGTAATTAATTCACTCATTTGTGTTTGATAAGAAGGATGAAAAATATAAATGAACATTTTTTTTTTTTTGTGTTTGATAAGATAGAGAAAGTTTTTTGGAATTTTTTTTGAATTTTAAATTTTAAATGTTCATTAAAAAAATATAAATACATATTTTAGCATTATATCTATATATAAATCAATGTATACATAATTTGTAATCTATATAATAAAATAACTTACAATTCAAATCTCAAAAGATAAACAAAATAATTTTTGCTATTTACGATTGAGATCGTTTTAAATTTTATTTTAAAATTAATCTAACGGTTAATATTAACTCCTTAACTTTAATAGGAAAAATAGATCCCTAAGGGGTGCATTTGAAGTGATTTTTTAAAAATAATTTTAGAAATTATTTTTTATAAATACTTTAAAAAAAATTATACTGTTTGAAACTGTCCCACCACTACCTCTACTACCACCCCACCACCGCCGCTACCACCACCACCGTCGCCACCACTACTACCTTTGCCACCACCACCGCTGCCAATACTACCTTTACTACCACCACCGTCGCCCTGCCACTTCATCTACTGCTACCGCTACCACCGCCGCCACCGCCACCACCTTCATCGTCGCCTCCACCACCACCCCTACCACCACCACCGCTGCCACCAACACCGCCACCCGCCACCAACACCACCCCCACCCACCATCGTTGTTGCCACCGCCACCGTCATCGATACCACCATCGACATCATCGTGGCCACCACCACAATCGGCGTCGTCGCCACCATCACCACCACCGCCGCCGCCACTGCCATCGGCACCACCATCATCACCATCACCATCGTCGCCGTCGCCGCCACCACGGTCATTGTCACCCACCACAATCATCACCATCTCCTATCACCACTACTGCCGCCCACCACCACTCACCCACACTAAAAATCGACACTTAAATTACTTTATCTTTGTGATTTGATTTTGGATATAAATACAAATATGTTTATTGTTTACCATTTTTTATTACTTTGTGCCTTCAAACACAGGTAATAACTAGTTAATAAAAATGATATAACATACATTTCAACACATATAATTAACTTTTCATTCATTTTTCCTCCCAATTTTGGAGGATTGATTTTGGTAAATTGAAAGGAAATTTAATTCATCCATTTTTTCATAATTCTATTTTCTTTCCTTACCAAATATGATATTTTATCTATTCTTTTGACTTTCCATCCTTCTATTTTTTTATCGTACCAAACAAAACATTAGTCTCATTTTTAGTCGTTTAAGATTTCAAAAATTGCCCCCTATGGCAGCATTAGATCATGTGATCTCTTTTTCATTCCTCTTTTTTTTTCTCATCTTTTTTTGTCAATGTATGTTGTCTTAAAATTACAGAAACTTGTTGAACAACCAAAAGCTTTTTACAAGTTCCTATAACGTTTATACAGCCTGTGATGATGCACAAAATTGTCTTGTGTAAAATCAACAGTCAAGAAGGTAAATAGGTGCAATCAATGAGCAATAAGCAATCAATGACAAAAGTAGTAAATAAGAACTCAGAGATTTATAGTGGTTTGGTCTTGCATGATCTACTCCATTTTTGGAAATAACAGCGGTGACCAGTGTTTTTTATTGATGAGTGATGGTACTCCGGAGAGTTACAGTACTTTGAGAGAGAATAAGAGAGAGCAATGTGTATAAGAGTGGTTGTAGAGGTTTTGGAAGCCTTGTCCTCAATGTTGAGAGGATTTACATTATATAGCTAGGGTAAAGTAGTATAGGCGGTGACATGAGGAAAAAGAATTATATTGCTTTGACAAGTATTGCTATGGTAGGAGATCTTCTATGTCAATCTTCATATTATCTTCTCTCGTGCTCCTATTCATCCAGATGAGAACATTAATTGGATTGAGGTTGACCCTTGTCTTAGACTTGGACTTTGTCTTGAGTAGGTTTGGATTGAACTCGAATTGGAGTACCAAGGTGAAGAGAAACAAGAGGAGGGGCACCCAAGGGGGTGCCATGGGCGGCGCCCAAGGGCTCCCTCGTCCTCCTCTTGCTTTGGTCGTTGACTTTTGGTGCTATCCTCTTGGTGTCTTCCTCAATGGGTTGACATTGGACACTTCTTTTGACTTTCTCGATTCATTTAAATTGGGCTTGGCCCAGTAAAATCCGGACTCATCAGCCTGTAAATTACATGCATCAGCTGATCCAACAGTTCTTTGAGGGAAAACATGAACATCATCTCTCGATTAATGTAAGGACAAGAAAAACAATGAGATTGCTTGCCTATAGCCGCCAATATTATCTGCGTATGTTTGTGCATGTCTATATGTGTGCATGTGTCTATGTTTGAGAGAGAGAGAGAGAGAGAGACTGCAGGATTAACCACATAACAGCTTACAGAATTTTTCTTCTTCATGATAGAGAAATATTGACAGATGACGACTCTCACACTCACCCTCGTCCCATTACTGTAAAAATTACAAATGTACATAATTAATGATAGACATAACAAACATGTAAACTTTGAAAAGCCAAGCAAAACAGAGTTCAGAAAATTACAAGAGAAGAAAGGATAGATGAATACAGAGAATAAAGAATAAGCAATTTGTTTTTCCTTTCATATGTAAACTTGTACAAAAGACACACTTGATCATGAAACCCCGTCTCTATTTTCAAGGTTTGATTGTCTCTGCTGGCGGTGCTTCTTCCTCCTTGGGTGGTTCTGTGGAGGCTGGGGCAGCCTCCGCTGGTGGCTCTGTTTTCTCTGCAGCCTCAGCCACTACCTCTTCTTTCTTCTCTTCTTCAACCACTAACTCCTTCACTTTGCTACTTGTTTCTGCTGGAGCCTCCTCTTCTTTTTTCTCTTCTGTAACTATAAATGTTGAGACCTTCTCAAAAACAAAGAAAATTGGCCCTGGAACCAAAGGTGCTCCGAACTTTGCAATTGCTTTGGAAACTGGTAATGATCCCGGAAAATCTTACAAGCAGGCAAATAAAGGAGATGGATATAATTTAGTACTATAAAACCTTATAGCTTCAAGGGAAAAAAATTATAATGCTAAATGATATAGAATTAGAACCCTACCGATTTTCACGAGCTCATCAAGGAACTTCTGAACTGCAGCCGAGTTCTTCTTCAGTCCGGCGTCGTTGGGTTCCTTCACCAAGGTCTGTTTTAATTACAAAAGAAAAAAAACTCGTGTTACTCATCTTCTTTGCTTTGAATTGATCGTTTTTTTTCCGCTGTGAAAAAAAAAATGATTGTTTGTGTTTAGATAGAATATGAAATAGAACCGCAACTTTCAATTCATTTGGATAAGTTACTACTATTAAAAAAATTTACCACTGAAGCTAATACTGAAAGAGGTCACGTTAGGACAAAAAACTACTGGAATGGATAGGATCAATCCTAAATAGCCTTATTTTGTAAGAATCTCATCAGATTTAGTTATAACTTAAGGTAGTTTAACCGGTGTCTATATGTAGTCTGCATCTTCTTTTGATGATGCTGTTTTTGTTTTTCTTTATAGTTTAAATGGGTTTAATATGGATTTCATACAGAAGGAAACCTGACCTTGACAACAGTTGATGAAGCCTCATAGATTTCAACAACTTTTGGTTGGAGTTCAGTCTTTTTCTCTTCAAACACCTTACTGTACTCCTCCTGGATGTAATAAGAAAACAGATGAGGTTAGTTAGTTCTAAGTTTCAAGGGTATTAAAGCAAAAAAAAAAAAAAAAACACCAAAGTTTAACCTTAGCGTCATCGAAGGACTTGCAAGCTTCAGTAGCAGCAGCCTTCTTGGCACCGTTCTTCTCAAAAACCTTCTTGATCTTTGGAAGAACCTTTGATTGCCAGTAACCCATCTCTTTCTTTTCTCAGTTCACCAACTTAGAAGTCAAGTGGTACCTAAAAGCAACCAAGCAAACACGATTACATGCTAACATTAAAACCAACAACAGATACGCATAGTACAAATAGATCTTTGTAGGAAAACAGAAAAAGATAACCATATGGGCATAAAATTTTGTTAGCTTCGAATTCAGAGGAAGAAGGAAACAAGTTACAAAATAATCTGTTAAAAAACATATGCTATTGAAACATGAAGAGGATCGAATCTCTATCACTTACTTGAAAATCTCTCTCTCTCTCTCTCTCTCTCTCTCTCTCGTCTCCCAAAAATAAAGTGGACCTCAATTGGAAGGCAACTGTTTTGTAGCCAACTGCGCTTCCAAATGAAGGCAATTATGGGGCTCTGGAAAGTCTAAAGCGTGTCAGCAACATATTTTGTTCCTTATTATGTCAATGGCCACTTATTCATTCGTAACTAACCCACACTCCAATGCCGATTTACTTATATTACCCTTCTATGTTAGATTATATAAGACCATCTTCAATGAAAATTTATACACTTACCTAAATTTGAATAAAAAAAATGATAAAAATTTGATTAGGTATAAACCTCTTTAATGGAGAAATTCAAATTTAAAAAAAGAAAAATTTAAATTTAAATGAGGATAAATTCAAATTTAAAAGAGAGTAAAACTAAAACATAATCATTGGACCTTTAAGGAATGATAAAATTTCACTATTAAAGATTTTGGTCGAATTTTGAATTTTCTTTGATTTGAATTTAAAAAAGAGTTTTTCTTCATTTGATATGAGAATGAGTCTAGTATTATAGAAATATTTTAAATTTTTTTTACCTAAATTTAAATTTAAATATAAAAAAAAGGTAAGGGTGTTACTCTAATGTTGGAAGATTCAAGGCCATAACCGTCCTTCTAAATGATAATAACAGCTTGGTTGGTTTTGGAATGCTTGATTGATTGATGGGTGAAATTAATTCCTTTCGTTTTTAAAGGGTTGTATTGTATTTCTTTTTGAAGTTTTTCTTAGAACTTATGTAAATAAAGCTCATATACATGACGCTAAACCCTTTGAAGGGGGAAATGTTAAACAATGATGAGTACATAAATAGGTGGAGAATCTTAGGGGTAGAACAGTAAAAGATCGACAGCTGGCAACCACCACATTCATATCATAATTGGGACCCCCCTCACAGCCGGGATGGTGATCTGTAACAAACGTTCCTTTCTCACTTGAACTTCACGACTTCTCACGTGGCCTCGCTGGTACAACCAATCACGCCGTCAAGGACCCCAATTATTGAAATGCCCTGCATCCTATTTTCATTTTTCAAAGATTGCCATTCAATCATACTTATATAATGCGGACAAGTACAATCAATGTTGATGATCCATCCCCATGTTCCTCCTCTTAAAACNCCTATTTTCATTTTTCAAAGGTTGCCATTCAATCATACTTATATACTGCGGACAAGTACAATCAATGTTGATGATCCATCCCCATGTTCCTCCTCTTAAAACTTGAAAATTGAATGGGCTGTTCTGCTTTTAATGTTCAGACTGATTGTTCGAATGTTACCAATCTTGCTCGCACATGACTACGAATACATTTCTAATTTTCTTATTTAATCGGCTGACTTGAACCCGATTAACTAAAATAAGAATTTACTAAACACGATTTATATATAACACTGCACCTGATTATACAGGAATAAATAGATTTAACCAATTTTGACAAGATGTAAACTCAAAATGACATGACTCTCTGCCCTACTTGTGAAATTCACTTATATATAATTGGTCCTACTTAAATTCATCGTACATGACTTATTATCAATAAGTGGATCACATTCCAGCAATTACGGCCGGTATTACAATAATTTTGTGATTTAGGGAAAGAACAAATGTGTTGGAGACAAGGAACATGCATGGTTTAGCTAATGGTGGGGCTTGAGGTTCATGGACTAATTTGTTTCGGAATATTTGGTTTAGTGTGGGGATCAGATCAGATCATTGGTGACTGTGCATCCAAAGGGAATGCATTTTTGCTATGTGGAGGCAAACCTGGCAAAAGGAAGATATATGACATACCCTAATGATATCCTTCAACGGATTCTCTATTGCAGGACTTAATTTGTGAATTAGTTAAATGATGTAAAATCGTAACTGACGGAATCCATCTGGATAGTTGGATATTAGGTGGGTTAATATCTCGAGATTGGGTGTTTAAATTTCAGTTCACCCGATGTGTATTATTTGTCGTCTTGTAGGTGATTGTGTGCTTTTAAAGTTTAAATTGAAATCATTTAAAAAAAAAAAATAGTTAAAATTATTTCCCAATATGTATACCTACTAACTATGCACTGCAACATTTTTTTGTTGAAACATTTAATAAAACATATAAAAAAATGTAATAATGTAGCAAATTTAGATATTATCTTATATTTATCATACTTAAATTATTTTTATTTTTTTCATAACTATAAACATTCAATAGACTTATTTTCTGTGTTGTTTATTCAAGCTACAAAATAGTAAAAGTTATAAATTTTTCTTTTTGTGTTCTTTTTTTCTTTGTATTAACAAACTAATCATGTTAAGAATAATATGACAATTTAAAAGTTTTATGAAGATAAAGAAATTTACATGATTTGTTCAAGATTAATTTGTTATTTAAATACATAGAGATATAATGATAATTTAAGTATTTAAATAGGACGTGTCAGCCTTTATAATTTTTTATAAGAGTAAAATAGTAAATTAAAAATAATTTTATTAGTAGTAAGCATAGATATTTATACGTCAGGCCCAGCTCAACTATGAAGCAATTCCTGAGGGCCCCATAATTTTTTAGCTAGTCATACTCCTTTTTTTCTCAAGTCTTTTATTTTCATTTATCCACAATAAACATTGTTCTTTTTTCATGATATACAAAGTACTTTTTAATCTATATATTATTTTGTATAATCCTCTTGATCACATTTTTCAGTAATACATTTCACTTTTGCATGCTAAAATCTACTAATAATCATTTCTGTAAGACTTTTCAGCTTTATTATAAACCATAAATAGTTTAGTCATTTCGTTGGTCGCTTAACATCTGTCTATTTAAAGAATATAGAGTAAAAGTTTATCTTCTACCGTATACTCACATTCAACATCGAGAGAAAACACATATCTTGTACTCACTATTTCTCTCATTATTTGGTCACTTGAATATATAAATTTAATAAGCAATTTTTTTATCATAAAAAACAAAAGAATGATTTTTTAAATAGAATGTAGGGATGGTACATATATCCTACTTATTTAAAATTTCCTTTTGGGCCTCAATTTCACTCGAGCCGGTCCTGTTATAAGTATATAACTTTATATGAAATAATGACACAGAGAAAAAAAAACACCTAAATATATATGCCATCTACATTCTTATTTATCTGGGAAAAGTAGGAGCTCCATGATTGAGCTCTTTACGAGAAATAAAGATCAATTTTCTAGAAAATAATATATAAAATGGTTTCGTAGTTTAACATTGATTAGAAATGTACACAATAATCTTGGAGTAATATTAGATAGACTTAAAAAGTAGATTTAATAATCTCAATCATTGAATAGGTAATAGGTCCCAATAAATATTGCGACTCACAGTGAAATCGATAACTAAGATTATTAAATTTAATTTTTAAAACTATTTTTTAAGTCCATGTAGTATTACCCATAATCTTGAAACAATCAAAGTTAGAGAGACTACGACAGGTTTGAGTTTTTAGACATTGCAGTATACCAGATAAAATGGTGGTCCGAAGACAACGACAAGAGGAAGAGGATAAGCCTGGTTAATTCTGTATGAATCCCAGCAGAGGGTGAGAATGGAACAAGCAATGCAGTACAAAACATTCTTGAAGGTGGGGAAAGAAGGAGCAGCTTTAGTCCCCTCTCTATGAGTTGGGATGCAATCGTGTGTCATCTATCCATTATGCTCATGCAGCAAGCCAAATTCGTAAAATACAAATTCAGATGACGTCAAAAAGAAAGGGATGTCTCTGTTATAATATGCAAAACTCCAAGGATCCCCTAATCGATTCTCGAATTTTTATACTTGTTTTTTGTTGTTTATCAGAACTCCTTCAGTGTTGGTACAATTTACCAAAAAGAAAAGATTTTTTTTGGTTCTTGCTCTTTGTAGAGCTATTTCCATATTTCCAGGTTTATGGTATTCGTGTTGGGTGTGAAGAAACTGGAAACAACTTCTCTCTCAACTGTTTACAGAGTAGTGATCACTATTTATCTCGTAACAACTGTAACAACTTTCCTAACTACCTTCTGAATTCATACTGCTTTGTAGCTTTGGTCCAGCATCAGTGCATTTATGTGTTGATGATTGTTACTGTTGATACCATCAGTGCATCAGTGATTAATAGATCCCTGCAAACTGATGGTAGGAGAGGAAACCAACAGTTTTGTTTTAAAATGCCCGAATTTTGTTGAAGAGGGACCATTGGTGAAAGGATCCGCAAGTTGATCTTCACTGGCAAGTCACAGAGTATCATTCGAATCCATGAAAGTTTTGTTGTGGTAATGGCCAAAGCGCAATACTCCGCTTCAGTTGAAGAGGGTGCAACTGTGGCTTGCTTTTCGGTTGCCCCGTGAATAGGATTGGAGCCCAGAAAAATGGAGAAGACCAGTTGTTCATATGCGGTCATTAGGGTCCCCTGCCCAGTTCCGCGTCCATGTAAGCAATAACATTCAAGTTGCCTTTAGTGTTGTGTAAACCAAGAGAGAAGGTAGCTTTTACATTTCGAAGAATCCATTTGACAATTGCAAGTTGTAATGTTTGTGGAATTATGCATGTACTGACAACATGGTTAATAGAAAAGGTTATGTCCCGTGAAAGTTAAATATTGGAGAGCTCCAATTAATCAGTATGATCTGCTAGAGGTGTGAATTTACTATTAACCATCAAAATCATGAAAGCATAACTAAGATATCATTAAAAA